TGCTTTGATCTTTTTTCCCCTTCCACATTTACAGAATGCCATCGACATTGGCTAAACCTTTAATTTAAATAGCCTTTTTAATATCCGTCATCTATTGTAAATTCAGAAAAAATCAAAACATTTATAAATATATTTTATATATCAGAGTATAACGTATCTAGAGCAAAATAAACCGGTATAGTTTTGAGAGGCACTCCGTGCTGCTGCTTCTATTTGCTGTAAAGCGTTTGAAAACCTTTGCAATCCTGCATCAGTTTTTTTGGCTTTATTTTTAAGCCAACGTAGAAGAAAGAGGAGGTTAAAGGGTTGGCAGATGATACTTTCGGCTGGGCCAGCTGAAGAGCCCCTGCTGCTGCCCAGACCCACGTGGCTCACTTAGCTCCTTGTGTTGGGGTTCAGTGGGGCACGAGGGTGGGCAGGGGGGGGGGGGGTGGGGGGAGAGGGGGGGGCTCAGCCCCACCTTTTAATGTAGTATTTTTGTACTGTAATGGAAGCATGCCTTCCTTGGGTTCTTTTCCACATATTAAAATGTATTTATTTACCTGTATTTATAACTGTGCAATTTTTAAATATGTTTTAAAAATAAACTTTGTCTGTGGCTTCAAATATTTCCAAATATCTTTCGATTTGAAAATGGTCTTGACTATAATTACTTGAACTGAAAGGAGGGACCTGCTTCTCCAAGTGAAATAAAGGATTTTTTAAATGAGGTCTTCTATCCTATTGTTTACGATGTGAACATGCTTCTCTGCTCCAAGATGAAGCCCAGAAAAGGCATTTTCTATTACCAAACATTTTTCATAAACTCATCGTTACTCTGAGGTAGAGTTATTTTTGCAATTTTTTTTTTATTTCAACATGTTGATCAATTATACTTACAACTGGAATTTATATGAGCTGAGCTCTGGCCCAAAGGATGTGGTGCGTACACTCCATATGAAGAAAAAGGGGAAAAAGTAGTTCTGAATTTCTCCTGGAGGTCATGCCACTGCACATCTCAAAGTTAAAACAGAAGTAATAACATTAGAACACAGTCTTTCTCAAAAAAACAAAAGCCAGCTTTCAGTGATTGAAATAATTATTCAAGCAACTTCCCATAAACCGTGGTGGGAGTTGGCTAATGGTCTTCTTCAATTTTGGCTTTCGTGGGATGAGGTGAAAGAGCTGACGGGGTGGAAGACATTATCTTTATACTTTGGCTATGGGACACTGAAACCAGAGAAAAGATCCCCAGAACTGGCAAAAGAATGATAGTTTCAGTCTACACTTACTCACCATGGCCCAGGCTTTTCAAACTCGCCCACCAGCTCTGAAGACAGCTCCATGTCTGACTGCCCTCTTCAAGATATGTAGATGTAAATCTTCACAGGATCCAAGCCTCTGCTGCATCCCCGATGTCAGCTGCAGACAATTAACTCAGCTGAAATGCTCAGAACATCAAGTTAAGTACAAAGAGCTAATGAGCCAATCTAGAAAACCTGGGCCTGTCAGTGAGATGAAGAGATAACACCGAGAGATGGGCAGGGTGACCCTAGGGACATCCACAGAGCACAGGCCTCCAGAACACAACAGCCACCACGACAGAAATAATAACTGATACATAAGTGAAACATAAATTGGTTTTAGATCCCTTTTGCCCAAACAGGCGTCTGCAAAATGAGACATATTAGTTACTTGGCATGGACAACATTGAGATTTCTGGTCACCAGTGTTTTCAGCTTAGCAGCCTGTGCAGTGAGTTCATGTACTAAATGTTTATAAAATAGTGTGTATTCACAGATAAAAGTGATAGAAAAAATGCACTGCATGTTGTGAAACACACAGTGGGTAGGCAATATGGCCTTATCTACGATCCACACCTCATCAAGGCTAGAAATCAGATTCCTTCATCATAGGCCTACTGGTTTTAGACCAGTGAAATAAATCAGCGGAAAGGAGTGCTGTGCGTGAAGAGATCACTGACACTCTCAACAAACCCAGGCAAAATGAAAAAACGAGCACGTCACAGAATCCCCAGGAAGTTTCAGAGCCTCGGCCACAAAGGAGTGGGTGTTAGACCCAGGGAAGAGGCAGAAGGAATCCAAAGTTCCCTCAAACGAGCTGTAACTCTACAAAGGCCTGCACCCGCGACGGCCCATCAAGCGAGCTTGCATGGTCAAGACTTCATGTGCTTTGATCTTTTTTCCCCTTCCACATTTACAGAATGCCATCGACATTGGCTAAACCTTTAATTTAAATAGCCTTTTTAATATCCGTCATCTATTGTAAATTCAGAAAAAATCAAAACATTTATAAATATATTTTATATATCAGAGTATAACGTATCTAGAGCAAAATAAACCGGTATAGTTTTGAGAGGCACTCCGTGCTGCTGCTTCTATTTGCTGTAAAGCGTTTGAAAACCTTTGCAATCCTGCATCAGTTTTTTTGGCTTTATTTTTAAGCCAACGTAGAAGAAAGAGGAGGTTAAAGGGTTGGCAGATGATACTTTCGGCTGGGCCAGCTGAAGAGCCCCTGCTGCTGCCCAGACCCACGTGGCTCACTTAGCTCCTTGTGTTGGGGTTCAGTGGGGCACGAGGGTGGGCAGGGGGGGGGGGGGTGGGGGGAGAGGGGGGGGCTCAGCCCCACCTACCTGCAGTCTTACTGATGCTTTAATTTGATGTTTCCTTGCACTGCTCTTTAAAATAATCTATTTCCTCAAAAATGAAGGACGTGCATATTGGATGTGTTCGATTTATTAAGGTCATAGACGACTATTTGCAGAGCACCACATTTAATGTAGTATTTTTGTACTGTAATGGAAGCATGCCTTCCTTGGGTTCTTTTCCACATATTAAAATGTATTTATTTACCTGTATTTATAACTGTGCAATTTTTAAATATGTTTTAAAAATAAACTTTGTCTGTGGCTTCAAATATTTCCAAATATCTTTCGATTTGAAAATGGTCTTGACTATAATTACTTGAACTGAAAGGAGGGACCTGCTTCTCCAAGTGAAATAAAGGATTTTTTAAATGAGGTCTTCTATCCTATTGTTTACGATGTGAACATGCTTCTCTGCTCCAAGATGAAGCCCAGAAAAGGCATTTTCTATTACCAAACATTTTTCATAAACTCATCGTTACTCTGAGGTAGAGTTATTTTTGCAATTTTTTTTTTATTTCAACATGTTGATCAATTATACTTACAACTGGAATTTATATGAGCTGAGCTCTGGCCCAAAGGATGTGGTGCGTACACTCCATATGAAGAAAAAGGGGAAAAAGTAGTTCTGAATTTCTCCTGGAGGTCATGCCACTGCACATCTCAAAATTAAAACAGAAGTAATAACATTAGAACACAGTCTTTCTCAAAAAAACAAAAGCCAGCTTTCAGTGATTGAAATAATTATTCAAGCAACTTCCCATAAACCGTGGTGGGAGTTGGCTAATGGTCTTCTTCAATTTTGGCTTTCGTGGGATGAGGTGAAAGAGCTGACGGGGTGGAAGACATTACCTTTATACTTTGGCTATGGGACACTGAGGTAAGCACAGGCAGGAGAGGGACATGGCCTGCTGTGGACAGAAAAGGGAACAGCCACTCAAAATACTAACCCATAGGATGCAAACAATGTGTGCTCTTCACACTGGTGTGTTTTGCCAGGAGATGTTAAAGCTAATTTAGTTCATGCTGCTCAAATGTACCAATAAAAACACAGCAGGAAGGCCCATTAGTTATGGGTTCTGTAGAAACACGGTCCAGGAACCCAGCACTGCATCCTGAAGCCAAACTGAGTGGTGGGGAGAAAAGCATCACTGCCAAATCCTACGTACAAAACTGCTCAAAAAATCCCTGGGAAGGAAACTGGAAAAGAAGTCTGAGAATATAATCACCTGCTCCTCACCAGCTGCCAACCACGCTCTGTCTGACTTCAGTATTTTTATGGCCTTCATCTTTCAGCACAGCTGACAGCACCTCCCCTATTCCTGCCATCCCTGTGGCACACCTGAGGGACAGAGAGCTGTCACTTCCCATTTTAACGAGGGGGAGTAGAGACCAGGGGTGGTGTTAGCTCCTCCTTTCTCTAACACTGCCTCCCACAAGCTGGCTGAAAAAGATGGCAGGCAAATCCTGCAGAGGAAATTCTTGCATGAATTGTGTGATTCTTCAGCTTGCACAAGGAGCCACGCTCTCCCACCTCTTCCAGTTGCTGCAGGTGGTGTGAACACAGCGTGGCACGGCTTGTCACTGAGGACATCTGTGATAGAAAAGAAACCAAAACAGATCATTACATTTGGACTTCAGGAGTTGATCCACCTTTACCTTTCATATCGTGGAACACTTCATGTCAGGAAATTCCACTTACAGCCCTGAGGGTTTATCTCTTGCCTCTCCTCCACTTCCCGGTCCCATGATCCTATAAAAAGATGAAAGGGTTGCCATCCTTCAGTTTTATTTTTTGCCTTATTCTTTCATCTACCAAAGAGTCCCGGTGGTCACACTGCTAAGTAAAGCCCTTAGATATGAGGAAAAAAAGACTTCTTCACTGAACAGCAGGTCACATTTCTAAATGAGTATGAGAAGTTACAGACCAAGAGAAAACTATGATTTCTGAACAGCAGGAATTTGGGGGTGAAATGACAACTCTCTTCCACATGAAGGTTGCAAATGCTTGTGTCCAAAGAACATCAACTGGCTTAAAAGTTAAAACCAAAAAAATTAATCTTAATTCAAATCTTATTTTCTATTTTTGAAACATTCTATATCCACTCAGAGCTTGGGGATTTTTATTGTGGGTTTTGTTTGGTTTTTTTTTTGGTCCACACAAGTGCCACAAGTCACAAGAAATCAAGACTCTCATAAATCTCTTTGTTCCCTATGCAGGTTGTTTTGTTAAGTAAAACACCAAATGTGACCAAAAAGAGTAAGGAAAGAGAGAGCATCAAAACACACTCAGTCAGTCTATTCCTCTGCAGTTCAGCCAGGAAAGAAAGAAGTAAGAATCCACACAGTCGCAAGATGTGAGAATATTTCCTTTTAATTTAAAACAGTTGCAACAACGTCATTCACAACCTTTCTCATCTCAGACAAATACTCTCCATAATGTTAACAGTGCTTCAAGCAAACAACTCTGAATGGTGCACAGTGAACCAGTACAGACACTCCCAGGATACAGCAGTAAAACAACCCAAGAGAGAATAAAAATCAGAAACAGCTCTCAGCCATTAAGGTAGGAAGGGTGATGGGAGAAGAACCAAACGCATGAAAACAGCAGAGAAGATAAAACTGGCTGCTGCCAGGATGGAGAACAAAAGGAATGAATTGGAGAGGCTTCTAAATCCATGGAACGAGCTCTGGTTGTGCCCGTGTTGGGAAGGTGCCCCCCAACCCCAGGGAGGCTGCCTGAGACAGAGAAAAGGGACCGATTCTGGTTTCGGTTACACCAAAGTGATGCCACTGAACCCAGCAGAATTACAAGCGACTAGTCCAAAACCATCTAGGCTTGTTTTTAAACCACAGCTTTGAATAAATTAATTTTTTCATCCTAATTATATTTTAGCTAGGAAGATTGGATAGGAGTTGGTGTCTACATGTCTTTTGGAGACTGGAGATTGTGACTCGGAATGAGGTGGGTACTGGATGCAGCACAGTGCTAGGAATGAGGCAGGAAAAGGAAAATGAGGAAAAGTTGTTGAGTTTTTCTTCCTTCCCTTCTCCTAACCTCAATGTATCCTATGGAAAAGTAAAAATCAGGTCAAGACATCAGAGAATTATTTGCTCTTCTTCTGGCTTTCCATAATTCTCAGGTCCAATTGTCTCACACACCTCACAGTGATTTTTTGTCGAGAAGTTCCCAGCACGCCTAACCCCCCCCCAGCTCTTACAGTAACGAGACACAGTGCTTCTGAGCAAGTAAAGCCCAATAAATTAGTCATTTATTTATTACAGTCTGTTTGGTTGTGGCTTCTGCACACTGCAGTTTAAAAAAAAAATACCCAAATAAACCAAAATGCCCAAACTCCTCTCCCCCACTGAAGAGGCAGGAGTTTAGATCCTGATCCTGTTTAGATGTTCTTCACACACATCCCACCACAAAGTGAACTGAGTTGAAAAAGGGAAGGCACTACTTTGGGAGAAAATAAATCCTCAAACAGCTGAAGAACTTTAACATATTTTCACATGTTAAATTTTAGAAGATCCAACCCCATCGGCCTTTATTCACCTGAGGCTTCTAAATAAAAAGGCAGTGGCCACCAGAACCTTGTTAGTTTATAAATAGCCCTTTAAGTTCACGAGGCAGGAGGGAAGCTGTTGTTTTTGACTTCCTTGGAATATAACTGGGCATTCAAAAAACTTTAAAAAGAAAAAAATTTAAAAAAGAGAGAGGCCTTTTGTCCTTTTTCTACAGCCAGAATGAAAAGGCACGAACGTAGATATACAGAAGTTTTGTTCTTTCTCTTTAAATAGAAGGTGTATCACCGCATAATTTCCTGATCCTGTTTTCAAATCTGGCATTTTCTGGTGAAATACACAAATGCTCAAAGCCTGAAGGAAGGAGAGAAAAAAAACCACTGGCAGTTTTTATTTTGCCCAGAGCTGGTGGCTCAGTAATTCGGAGGCAGCTGAACCTCAGACGCAGGTCCGTGTGTCAGTAAGAGCACTAAGTGCAGGAAGCTTTCCCAGCAATTAGGCACCATTTACACTCGACAGAATTATTGCACTAGAATTTCTCTCATTATTTAAAAAAAAAAAAAAAAAAACCAACAGTGTTTTTTGGCTTTGCATAAGGATATATGACCAGAGGGAAAACTATTTTCCCCCAAAGGCTGGAAAAAATAAAATGCCCTACGCACAACCGGATTTTTAGTTTGGGTTCTCTTCTGTAGCGTGTGGCTGCCTCAATTTTGCTATTAAACTTGCAGGCACTGACTGCAGAGAAAATGGAATTACACCTCCCTGCCTCCCTTGCACTCTCTAAAGAGGACCTTTTTTTTTTTTTTTGACTGTTTCAATATATTTTGAGGGCTCAGTAAGGTTATATGAGGCAACTCCGGCAACAGTCTCTAAGGGTTGGGGGTGTTTTGGAATCATGAAAGGTTTCGCACTCACCATTTTTCTATAATTAGTGTTTTCAAATACAATTTAAAAGCCCACATACATATTCTCGTCCGTGACACAAACTGAATTAACACCCAAAAAAAAAAATAGAGACAGGAAAGGCCAGCCCTTACCTACGCACCCCTTCATCCCTGCCAGAGATAAACCCCTTTAGAAGGTTTCTGTTGAAGAGATCAGATTATTGGTGTGTTTGCAAGTTTTAAAAAAGCTGAAACATCATTTCAAGGTGGGTTTTTGTTTGTTGTTTGGGTTTTGTCGTTGTTGCTATTTGTTTGGTTGGGTTTTTTTTTAAGGGGAGGGAGGAGAGTGTGGCAAATCAATAACTCAGCAATTTTACTAAGCAATTAGCCCCCTTCATGGATGGAACTAAATATTTAATCAACCTTTGGCAGAAAGCAGAATTGCACTGCGAGTACTTTGTCAGGGAGTTGATTTCAGCTGGAATGTGAGTGGGTCTAGATGCAAATTTCCCTGAAATAAATATAATGGGACATTAACCCCTTCTTTACCTCCTTCATAAGAAAATAAAATTCAAATAATAGCCTTGCCTTTCCTGAGGGCATGCATTTAATTTTATAGTCTGCTTCTTTTAGCCATCTGTAATCCTGAATCTGTAGGGAAAACCTGCAAAACAAACATTCAAAAGAAGATGAAGGAAATTATGTCTGCAAAAATAAAATCTACTATTTTTCTTTGGCAGAAAACGTACAGGGCACTGACAGGAGATTGCTTCCATCTCCATTAGTATCTTAGGTTTATGCATCAAAAAGACAAACCAAAATACTGAATTGCAAGAGATAGAACTTAAGTTGACTTTTCTCACTGTACCGAAAATAATCTCTCAAATAAGACATTCTGCTTTGGAGAACACTCACACCCTCCCTCCCTCCAACTTTGTATGTGATGTGATTCCTCTAAATGGTCTGAACTCTGGGTGAAAACACATTTCCCAAAGATGCAAATATTTCTTCCTGGTCTTCAGTGGATCCACGGACAGAACAGGCAGGAGCTGGGCTGAACTGGGCTATTTTTGTTCAATTCTGAAACTTCTGTTTTATCCATATACTGCTGCAAACTCCACCAGTAATCTGCATGGTCTTTAAGGTGTATAAATTTAAAACAACATACTATACATCACCTAATAGAAATTTTCCCTCTAACACTTAAGGCAGCATCAAATGACTGTTTTTAAATAAACTATAAATATCCCATGTTTTCCTTTGCTTTTTGGCAGTCCAAGAGTTAGGGGTCTTTTGTTGGTTTTAGATTTTCTTTTTTATTGTACGCTTTTTTAGGCAGGTTAAAAAGGCTTATGGCTTCTTAAGGCCAGGTAATAGATTCGAGGCCTAACTTGGTATCCTGTGGTAAAAATAAATGTAGCCCAGGTCTTTGGGAGGTCGTTCTGAGGCACAGACTCTAAGGTCATTGTAGATCACCCATCTGAAATGAAAACAAGATTGATTACATTCCATGTGTATAAAAATCGTCACAAGTTTATCAGGGACTTCTCAGGCACAAACTTCAAAGAGCTTAACATCTAAAATTAGGCATTGCAATGAGAACAAAAGCTCAGGGAAACAGGCAAGGCAGGTCTACTGCCAGAGTCAGGAATTGAAAAGGAAAAGGAATGTGCAGTTACAGTTCCGTTGAAGGAAAATCAGGGATTCCTGAGGCCAAATAATAGGAATATCTCAAAATCAGAAGATTTTGTTCTGCTGATCACAAGACCAGCACTGCAGTACTAGCAATACCAGTATCAGCCCATAGTTAGATGGGTTTCACCTGACAGGGAATGAAAGGAAATTGGAGGAAGCTCAGATAAACAAAGCCAGATACAGAACTGGTGCCCCAAAATGAACAGAGGTTTGGAACAGCCAGCACAGGAGAGCTGATGATAGGTTTCAGCACAGACCTCAGAGGAATCGGAACTGACTCAGCCATCTACAATCTGTAATAATCTTCACTCTTTGGTGGGAAATGTGTACATGGTAACGACACACACGCTTTGTCTGCCATGAACACACCCCCTGCTCTGTACAGATGCACGCTTCAAAGCAAACATCTGCTCACCCTTGTGTGTCTCTCCCGGTTCCACTCACCTTCCCTCCTTTTTGAGATGACAAACGTAGTGGCCGCTCATTGTGGATGTTCCCATGTGGCTGATGAACCCAAACAGCTCGTACCCTGTTTAAGAAATATGAAGAGGAGCGTAAATCTTTTACTGCTAACACTACAATATGACTCCAGGGGAAACTTTGTTTCTAATACTGGAGAAGCAGCTTAGTGCTCCTGACTCAGGCTCTGCCTCCCCAAACACAGTTTCTCTCAAGATCGCAGCATATTCTCGCTTTAACGAGCAGCCAAGTTCATTGTCAAACATCAAACCAATCCAAATCAAACCCACATCGAGCTGTGCACGTACAGCCAGGCTGTGATCACAGCCCCTGCCGGGAAAGAGAAAACAGCAGATTCATTCCTAGTTCACCGAGAAGTGCCAGATAGGGGGTTCATTCCACACACAAATTAGCTACGTCTAAAGTGTGATCACAGATCCCCTAGGAATCAAACCAGAAACAGAAGTTTAAATTTCAGCAGCCCATAAAAGAGAGGACAGGAAAGAAATCTCTTCCTTCCATACGAGGACCATTTTTGTGCTTAGAGTCTCTGGAGAACTCAGCATTGATTCTTGCTCCCCACCCATTCATGCCATTCACCCAAATTACCACCAAAAGTAAAAGGGTACCTTCTTTCAGGATATTGCATAAGGAGAGGGGCCTGGATTTTGGTGGAGAGGGCTTTCTGGAGCCATTTTACAGTATCATGTTGGTTATCAGGATTTCAGGCACTCAGTAAATGGTCTCAGTCTATAAAGGCTAAGTACCACAAAAAATAATTATTCCAAATCTCTTTTTTTTTTTTTTTTTTTAAGCTAACGATAATCAATGTTCCCCATGTCTGCAAGAGACTTAAGATTGATCTTTATAAGTTCAGAAACAAAGAAATGAGTGTTCTTATATAATAACAGCAACCACAGAAACAAAAATCAAATTCGTTGTTAGTGTTTTCCAGTTTTTTTTTATAAGACCATTATGGTCAAGCTCAGAGGTACAGATTTAGAACAAACTACAGTTATTAGAACTGGTCACTAAAGATCCTTCAAAAAAGATTATGTGATTTCCTTATGTTAGAACCACCACTGAGCTTTTGTACTCCAGTGCTTTTACACCCTCAAGATGTTCTTTGCCTCCTTCCCAACTCTGACTGCTGCACATGAGCCCCATCTCGTGGTTCTTCTGGCAGTAACACGGCTGAGGATTTCACTGAATTTCACTGAATTTTTAGAGTTGGAAGGGACCATAGAGACTAATCTAGTCCAACTCCCCTGCTAAAGCAGGACCACCCAGAGCATGTCAGATCATGCCACTCAGGACTGCATCCAGGAGGGTCTTGAAAATCTCCAGAGAAGGGGACTCCACAACCTCCCTGGGCAGCCTGTCCCAGGGCTCCCAGAATGTCAAACAAAAAAACCCAAAAGAAAACAGCTGTGCAGTACACGCAGGGTACCCCCTACACCTCCCACATTTAGAATAAGGAACTTGGTTGGAGGGCTCCAATCTCTCATCAGAGCACAGGAGGACAGAAACTCAGGTGGTCTAGAAAAGCAGTGTTATCTTTAGGATTCTCAGCTTTTAAACATTCTAGCTTTTCTTTGTCTTTTTTATCTTACAGCAACAAAAAAAAAGCAAAGCCAGGCCAGGAGACATATATGCTGTGGCAACAAGAAACTTGGACACGGGTTATTCAGTGAGTCCAGGGAAAGAGTTTTCTGAGCAAACACATCCCACAGAACTTAGCAGCACCGCAGAGCTGGACTCAGCCCCAAAAGCAAGATTGGAAGTAAATTGCCTGGATCATATCCAAAAACCCACGATGATAGCTATTTTCAAAAAAGGAGCTCTACAAATGGTGTAGGTGTGATGCAACGGCATGATGAAGAGACAAAGGAGAACTTACTTCCAGGCCCGTCTTTGATCCTGGGTCCCTCTGACCCTGTCTCTGCGAGGACATTGGCATTAGTGTTGTTCACCATGTTCATCATGTCCAGAGCAGGCTCACTTTCTTCCTCCAGTTCGGGGTGGCTGAAGATCCATTCCAGTGCATGCTCCAAATTATTGTTCTGCAAGTCAAACAAGTCAAAGAGCAGTCTTTAGTACATTCTCCAGCGTCATCGGTCTACAAACAGAGTAAGGATCACGTTCCACAGCACTTAAAACTTGTAAGGTACATACTCTACCTCCATGGAAAACAGTATCCAACAAACACTCTGCAGGAGCTTGACAGATGGAAGAAGAAATCCTCCCACAATTAATCCCCACAGCCCCCGGGTTCTCATCTTGAAGCTGCACAGCTTTAGGCATACAGGTTGTTTCTCAGCAGATGGTAAAAGCAGCGAAGTTTTCCTCACTTTCCTCCATGTGAAACACACAAACCACCTTCCCCGCACTCACCCAGACAAGTCAGGCCTCCCACGCTTTGCCAGAATAGTTCTACATGCACCATCCACCAGCTGGATTTTGAAATACTTGTTTCAAAGACATCTCAGCAGGCACAGGTACAAAGCACGCAATATGAAAGGAAACCCAAGTGCTACCAATAACTCATGGAACTCACCGTTGCCTTCAGCGCTTGAATTGCTAGATCCCTTTGGAAGCCCATGGAAATGATAATGGCAACCATCTCTTCGGGAGGTTGGTTATCTAGCCCAACACCTCCAAACGCAGCTGCTCCACTGGAAGCATCTTCTCCAAATGCAGGTACGACCAATGGCTCAGCAAAGTCTGGAACAAACAAACATTCATCAGTTCCTTCTTTTGCCCCACTGAATTGGAAGAGTCAACAACAAACACGAACAGGACTTCAAAAGCAGTCCTGAAATCAATGTAAATTCATTTCACTGGCCCAGTTGGGACTTAGATGTGTGGAAAGCCTTAAAAAGAAAGAGATGAGCATGCATGTTACAAAATATCTAGGTGGACAAACTCATACTGAGCAGGCCGGAACAATTTGCCACATCACAGAAGTGAAAGAACTGCAGGAAAGTAGCCAAGATTGGTATGGAAGCCATGATGACACCAGAATAGTAGACAACCCAGCTGATACACACATAGATGTAAAATGAACTGATTCCATAGCTGAAATATGCCATTTAAGCCCAAGTGAAACTCATTCCCCATTTACACAAGCAACACAAAAGCCCACAGTGAAGTTCGAACTCAACCAAATCTGGAGTTTTCTAGCAAGGTCCAAACTTTGCATGGATGGAACATAGGAAGTGGAGAACATCTAGCAGCCCTGTCCATCAGTAGATAGGCCAAGTTCTAAGTACAGCATGAATGCTCCAGCTGGAGCTAGAGAAGGCTGATATGGAAGAAAAGCATCTGGACCACAGGACTCTTTGTACTTACGCTTGATCACAAGTCAGCTTCCCCCTTAGCAGCATGGACCTAGCCAAAGGGTGGAAAACAAAGAGCTGGCCCACACCATCAGTGAGGACAGGAGAGTGTACCTCTGGTGTAGCTTAGGTTTTGTTGTCTTCTTCTAGGCAGAGGATGCCACACAATGGTCAAGATCTGCATATCCCAGGAGCAGCTTAGGAAAATTCCCTCACACCTCCAGGATTCCTGGGGTGGGGAAGGGGGCCATTGTTTCACTCTCACACATCACAAAATTTCTACTGACTGCCAAAATGTACAACCAGGAGCTGAGTTTAACCGACACCTTCCAGTCACTGACCTGGATCTTCCATGTGTGCAATGATCCAGTTGAAAGCCACTTCAGCACCCAGGTTGCCTGTGTAGTACACAGCTTTCCGACAGGCCTCCAAAGGAAAACCCATCTCCGCCAGTTGCATAACCGAAGAGTCATCGATATCTAGAGCTACAAGAAAGGACCTTCTAAAATACAAAAGTCTAATTTCATCCATTGCATAATATTTCTTGTTGTTATTCATGGTGCCACATATTGCAATCCACATCTCTTGAATTTGTCTTAGTATTAGAGTAAACCCACACCCGTTAGAAAACAGCCTTGCACAAAACATTATAGTATTTGTTAGGGATTCCTGGTAATCTTTTGTCTCAGAAATCTACACAGATCCTTAAACTTTGATGAATTCCTACAGGACTTTATTTATTAAAAAAACACCACTGGATTTCCAGGGCTGCTGAGCTCAGCTAGAGATGGCAGCCCAAAGCAATCACCTCTCTCAGAGGCAGGATATTGCAGGTGGGTGAATCAGTGGGTGCTGGATCTGCCAGTCTCCAGGCTCTGTCACTCAGAGATGAAGAGCTGATGAAGATGAGTGGAGATCAGAGTCCAGAGGGAGCTGGGATCAAGCAGCTGTGACCCCCAGCACTGCAAGATCCTGCTGATGAGCAGCAGCTCATATTCTGGCTACGCCGATGCTACTACAGTTTCTTAAAGAGTCCTGTACACATGTGAGTAAATGCTGAACAAGTACAAAAGTCATCTGTTGTTTAGAAGCATGCCAGGCAATACTCCATGCATCCCCACCAGGACAGAGAAGCCATTAGCTGAGCAAAAGCAGGAGAATTTTTTAAGCAGCTGGAATACTGGTCTCAGAAAAATGAGATACGTACACTCCACGAAATGGTTTGTCATTCGATCTGAAAATTGAGAAAGAAAAAAACAAGGAAAAGGACTTTATGAAGGGTAAGTAGATTCCTACAGTAAAAACAATTCTGTGTTTTTAAAGTCATAGAAACATTTACAGACAGGGCATGTTTATCTTTACACCCCTGATGTTTTTGCCATGAATTAGAGCATGGAAGTTGCTGCCCAGTAATTTCCCTAACGCAACTCAGAGCAACGTGTCACTGTTACTATAAACCAAAAGGAGATAGAGCTGATGGCTGACCTAAACCTACTCACACAAGAATCTATTTTGTTATAACTAAGGTACCATCATCCATGCACTTACACTAAAACGAGGTCAGTCCATTGAGCAAGAAGATAAAAAAGAATAGGCCTTGGTAAGGAACCTACAGATAAGGGACAAAATTAAAACCTTTGGAGAACTGAATTTTGCCATGACAAAAATTTGCTCTGACACAATTTCAGGTACCAGCTTCCTTTCACACGCACACAGCTTGATATTATACCACCACTGTTACAAATATCCAAGCAAATGGGGCAATCATCATACTGGGTTCCTATTAAATACTGAGGCACCCAAACTTCAGTCATCTGGAGGAAATAGGAGCAACCTGGGTCTAAGGTCACACTATAAAAACATGATTTTACTTGCTGTAAACCATACTGAGTAGTGAGTAAATACCTTTTGGGTCATCAGGAATGATAATGGGAGGAGCAATGTCTGGAAGTTCCTCTTCTCCTGGCTGGAGACCCTTGGCCCGAAGGTGGCTGATATCTAGAAAATCTGGCATGTCTACAGAAACGTCTAGAAAAGCAGAGGAACAGGCTAAGTGTATGAATTCAGCAAAATGACCTCATGGTACTGCCTACCCCATCAGAGAGGGGACTCTGGTACTCAAGCTACAAGCACAGCCAGGATTCTTCACCTGAAAATGGTTATTTGCGAAATTTGGAACACTAAAGCACAATTTGACTAGGAGGAGATGACATGAAACTGTATTTTAACTCCACAGACCTGATGGATTGGTTTAATTTGTCATAGAAGAGGATTCAATATGGATGGTCACAGTACAAATCTGAGACTCAAGCCAGGTCCTGATTATAGAGCAAAGTGTGTACACCTTATAGGTTAACTTGGATAGAATGAGAAAAAGGTAAATATAAAAGGCATGTACCAAGCTTTTTGGGTATCCAGTCGAGGCCAAAGGTGAATTTCTTTATCTGCACCACTAAGTACTCAGGAAATGAAGCAAAACGAGAAGTCCTGGGACGACACAAGAAATACAATTCAGAGAAACAAGGCAACATGATCACAAGCAGCTGAGATTTCAGTACCTCACGCACAGCAAGATGAGTAACTTTAGCCCTGAGTACTATAAGTAACTACTTTCTAAATTCTTGTTAGCATCACCTCACAATTTTATTAACTTTATCATCTGCAGCATGAAAATTTTGAATTTTAAATAGCAAATTATGCTTCCTCTTTCAATGCTTTTAAAGATCTAATGGATGAAGAACTGCTAAAGTTAACTCTAGATCTATTTGAAGACGAGAATGTTCTTCCAGCACATTCACAGTTAATACAACAAGCCTTTTGATTTCTGCTACATTTTTCTCCACCATGTGCTTGTCCCCTGATTTTCAATACGTCAGGGAAAGTATATGCTAAAACAGCAATGAAGCATTGAGATGTTAAGTGATCTAACTTTAGCCCTGAGAGAGATGGAGAGTCGTGGATTTTATAAACACAAATTTCACAGAAAGGTTTTCAAGTACAACAGAGAAGTATGGTAGTGGCTTTCTCTGTGTTCATATCCTGAATGGCAGCCCAAACCCTTGCAGACAATTCATGTTAAGTGATCTAAAAATAGCAGGTACCTCAGCAAGATGAGTAACTTTAGCCCTGAGTACTATAAGTAACTACTTTCTAAATTCTTGTTAGCATCACCTCACAATTTTATTAACTTTATCATCTGCAGCATGAAAATTTTGAATTTTAAATAGCAAATTATGCTTCCTCTTTCAATGCTTTTAAAGATCTAATGGATGAAGAACTGCTAAAGTTAACTCTAGATCTATTTGAAGACGAGAATGTTCTTCCAGCACATTCACAGTTAATACAACAAGCCTTTTGATTTCTGCTACATTTTTCTCCACCATGTGCTTGTCCCCTGATTTTCAATACGTCAGGGAAAGTATATGCTAAAACAGCAATGAAGCATTGAGATGTTAAGTGATCTAAAAATAGCAGGTACCTAACCACAGCAAACCAGTCGCAGAGCCAGATTTTCAACCAGTGACATAGAAATGGAACCAGATAAGAGACTAACTCGTGTCCTCAGCAAGAAACACTGCACTGAAAACTGCATTGATCTCTGCCTGCTGTGCTATTTTTTAAGAAAGAAGGCTTTTTTAAGACCAAGATGTTCTCGGTTCTTTTATCTCCCTGACTACAAACATACAAGATGGGTTCCTTCTTTTATATGTCCATCTTGTATGATGGCCCCAGGTAAGTGACAACAAGCTTAACAGATGCCACCAAACACTGTGTCATACAAAGATGATGGGTTGAAATCCAAACACAAACAATAAATAACATAAAACATAACATAATAAAAAAAAAGTTTTCAGCATAGCACTTCACAAACGCAAAATTTTCTATCCATCTAAAGAACTTTCTCACAAGGAACACAACCTTTGTTTGCTTCACTCTGTTTTGTTGCCACACAACACCCTTCAGTATTTTTAGTGAAATGAAGATGTCAAGAGACTGAGCCCAGAGATCCAGATTATGTCTCCTGCCAGCAAGCAGAGCTCTAGCACGAGCTGACATGCAGGATCTGATTTTAAAATGTGGGCAGACAATTAAGCTACAAGCATTTAAAGTTCAAGCTCTTAACAATGAGACCCCATCACCTCTTGAAGTCAGTTGAGAACAATTTATTTCCTGATGAATTGGTTATTACGAGGGCTTGAGCTGCACATTACATTTATGAGCCCCAACCCCAATGTGCCAAAGCCCACTATGCCTTTGCCTATTTCCCTCTGCACCATGTCCAGGCAGTAAGACAAGCACGAGCACTACTATATTGATTTTTAATCGGCAGCCAGACACACACTTACTTAACTCCTGCAGATTTTGCTTGAAGGGCACTGCTCCAGAAATCCTCGACGTTGCTTGGTTCAGAAAAGGCCTGCAGACAGGCACTGAAGGGGATCTTGGCACGGACGAGCTCTGGTGGAGGTCTCCTTGCAGCTTCTGCTTCTCGCCTCTTCAATTCGTAGGCGATTAATTCATCTGAGAAATGTACATGATACTAAAAGCTAAATGAATATTATTGTGGCTGTGATGTCCCTTACTGGTCTTAGTTTTGCAAGTTTTAGAAATGGTTTTGGGCTTGGTTTTTGTGTGTCTGTGTGTGTGTTTTTTTTTACAAGATATTCATTAGCTAGTATGTTTGGTTCCTTTTTAAGCATTGAGAACTTTTTATATACTGGCTCACTGTGCAGGACAAGGGCAATCCAGTGGTAATGAGGATCTTTGGGGACACACACGCACATAAACCAAGGATAAATAAACTGTACTACAAGTGGTGTGGCACATTTTGGGGTCAAATCCAGATTAATGTTTTAAGTCACAAATCTCTGACATTTTTATCATATAAACTGCTACCATTCTTAGTAATATATTCCTGAGCGGTGACACTTAATGGTGGTCCCACAGTCTGAAAAGAAATCTGTCTGAAAACTTGCCAAGAGTTTCCAGGTAGAATCCTTCTCCCCTAAAAATATGATCAGGGATGGTAAAACCAGAAACCGATGTGTGTTTAAAATCTTCTTTAAAGAAAAGCAAAGCAAGTAACTTTCCCCTGATCAGTTCATTGGTTTGATTTGCCACGTGGCCCTGAACCATTCTATCCATACAAAGACCATGTCGGGGTGAGGAAGGTCAGTCAATAGACCAGGTTCTTTCTTTACCTTTATTTGTTGCTGCCTCCATGGCAACAGGTAACTGCATGATATAGTCCACCCTCTCTGCATAGCGGACCTTTCTGGACTGGCAGCATTGTGTGCGTTCTTCCACCAGGAACCGGAAAACATCACTGGGGTTTTCTGAACCTACCGGGTTCCTCTGAAAGGAAGATGAGATCCAATCATTTAAGTGATGAGCATTAAAACCACCAGAGAACCCAAAGGCAGCTGGTTGTTTTACGGCGAGTCCGAAGACATCCCTCTGGCACCCAGATCTGACAGCTCAGCTTGCATTTTATTGGTTTTATTGCATGCAGAACTCTTACACCCA